TTTATAATTATTAATATTATTTTTTGAATTTATAATTAATTACAATTTATTCAACTTACCCTAAATAATTACAAAACAATAAATAAGTAAATTATTCACCTGATGAGGATGTAGATGGGCCAAAACGCCCCCCAGCCTGTCGTTGAGGAGCAGGTTGTGTGGGACGAACAGCATGTACCGGACGAACATGCTGTAGAACCGGCCGTACCGGACGAACTGGCTGTACCGGACGAACTGGCTGTACAGGAGGACGAGGGTGGTTAGGACCCGTAGGCTGTGCGTGGTCCTGATCATCTGAAGAGTCGTCCGAGTCATAGTCCTCAGCACCTGGCTCCCTCTCGCCGTACGACTCATCATCAGCATACCCCTGCTGACCATAAGGTAAGGGTACGCGTGCGCGGGGGGGTATCGACTTCCCTGCGTAGCGGGAAAAAGCACATCCCCGCTGATCGTACGGTCCTGGTGCCGGGGGCATCGTCCTGCCCGCCTGGCCAGGATAATAAAATCCATGTTCGCCGTACGGGAGGGCTCCGTGGGGTCGCAAACTATCTGGCTGGCCCTCAAAATGATATGGACCAGTGGGCACTGGTGCGGGGGGGCGGGAACTCTGGCTAGCCTGACGAAGTTGTACCCTACGAGCCTCATCGATCAACGCCTGCCTTTCCGTGTCCCTCTCCCGACGAACGGACGCATTGACACCCCGAGTTCTAGTGTGTCGGGTGCCAGAACCATCATAATAGTCATCGTACGCCTCGTCGTCGTCCCTGGCATTAGATTGTCCAGGTCTGCCAACACCCTGAATTAGAAATTATTAGATTTTTCCAATGTAATGATTATTCTAATAACTATTAAAGTAGATTATAATTCATTTTTCTTTTCATATATAAATTTTATTAATTATTATTATAATCATAATTGTTGAGATTTAAAATAGTTATTATAATTTTTTAGTTCAATTATTATAATTAACATTAATTTATAATTATTATTATATTTAATTATAATTATCATTACACATTATAATTATTATTTCTTATAATATTATTATTATAAGCATATATAATTTATAATTATTAATATTATTTTT